ATAATAATGATAATGATAATAATAATAATAATAATGATAATTATAACAATAATGATAAATGATAAATATATAATGATAAAAATAGAAATACAAAGGCGTCGTATTACACAGTGACTGCTTTAATATTACAGATATCATTATTTTATGATATTCATTTATTATTATTAATGGGTTCCTGAGAACTCTACAAAATTTCTTAATGAACTAAATAATTTAAAGTAGAGTCTCAATGATGATATTATTATTAGGTAGGGCTGCGGACTTGAAGTTTTACTTAAAATGTGTAGGGAATGTATTTTATGTGGTGTCTAGCAGGAAAAATACCAAAAATCTTTGATACAATTATCCTCGATTGTCTTTATTATCTTCATTCTGTAATGTATCACAAACATTTATATCTAATGAGAGAATTTTCGACTTTTTTTAGTCAAATATCACTTGATCCCAGACTTATAGAAACACGTGACTCATCTGATAGTATTATCCCAGGGCGAGTCTGAACGAAAATAATATATATATATATATATATATATATATATATATATATATATATATATATATATATATATATATATGTTTATATGAAACATGTGTCTATAATAAAAAAGGGATAAACGGTAATATAGAAAATTACCGTATTTTTAATGATCAGATTACGAATATACTGATTAATAGTTAAAGAAAATATCACAAAGGGAGGAAGGTGGATTTTTAAGGTGATTATCGATAAAAACAATAAGAGCTTTGTGGGACATCACTACTACTTTTTGTTAAATTCCAACCAGCGACTTTTAACATGCAACACATTACTATGATATTATTCATAAAGTTAAACAAGGAACATAGTTGCCTTTCAAGAGTGTAGATAGACATTTAAATGATAATACTAGTGATACTGATGACAATAATAATTTCGAAACGAATAGTAATCAACAATAATACTTCTGTAAAGGGTTATAAGTTACTGATATTCATGGTGGGTGAGAGACAGTGTTGTGGTGAAAGGATAGAACTTCTAGTGCAAATACAGTGTTATTAAACCTTTTGATACAGCGATTTAAGACTCATTGTCCTTAAGCATGGTATTTAAGGTAGATTCCGAAAGCAAAAAGTCATGTAAAATAATTATCTGGAGAACTGTGATCACTTTGTCCAATTAACCGTATACTTGATATGTTATTCATTAAATATATGGCATAGGGAATTAAATCTTAACTCTTATCTTAAGCTTACTATTGATAATCGCAAGGTAGACATTTATTCGTATTTCAGAACTTCCGGTTTATTAGATAATAAATTACTGCTGCATTTAAACTTATCTTTGATTTCATTATCTTGGTATGTAACACGTACGTCTTTCTAAAAATATATTTTTAATTTTGGAATGCCATTCCCGTCAAGTTATCAAACGACTCTTCAGTACCAATAAATGCTGATTGCGTGTGAATGAAAAATAAATAAACAAATAAATAAAAATAAATAAATAAACTGCAGTGCACAACGAATAAAGACACTTTAAATCCATATACATTTGCAACCTTCCCCAGCCTCATACACGCGCACTTGCAGAGAGAAAGAGACGGATAGAGACAAAGAGAATGGAAGATAATCAAAAACAATATAGAACAAGAGTTATGTCTGGTTCGCAAAAGACGGGTGAGACTTTTATAACGCTTTGCAAAAAAAAAAAAAAAAAAAAAAAAAAAAAAAAAAAAAAAAAAGTTTCTTGTCTTCAGAGGCGATACAGTAATCTCACTATTTACACCTTCTACACCTCGAAGGTCTGTCTGATTAACTCTTTCCATCATCACAGCTAAACTTCGATTCTAATGTTATTCATATTGATAAAGAAAAAGAACTACACCTGTAAAATTAAAAGGTTCAACCCTTTGCACCCCTTGCAATCTCATACCTAGCACGTCACTGATATATATATATATATATTATATATATATATATATATATATATATATATATATATATATATATATCAGTTAATCATGGATCTTATTTGGAGTATCTGAGTTTATACATCTGTTTATACATGTTTTAGCATTTCATATTACTTTGTTAGTTGTTTGTGATAAATTTCCTTTATAAATTCATATCAATAGAAAAAAAAATGAAATGAATACAATCAAAATAATAAATAAAAAGTGTGATTCCGCATGGAACAGTCTCGAACGTGGGTCTGTAAACTACTGGATGACAACGTTACCTACTCTATTTCGACGATGCTCAACCATGAAACTATAAATAGTTTATTTAACTTGATATATGATGAAAACGTACTTGTATTTTGTTCTACTGTATTTTTGACACATAATTGCATAGATGATTATTTGAAGTGACAAAATTTAAAAGTGTAGAATTGTATGGAAGTCGCTAGGTCAGAGTGAGTATGTGAATGAGAGAGAGAGAGAGAGAGAGAGAGAGAGAGAGAGAGAGAGAGAGAGAGAGAGAGAGAGAGAGAGAGAGAGAGAGAGAGAGAGAGAGAGAGAGAGAGGAGAGAGAGAGAGAGAGAGGGGAGAGGGAGAGAGAGAGAGAGAGAGAGAGAGAGAGAGAGAGAGAGAGAGAGGAGAGGGAGGGAGGGGAGGGAGAGGGAGGGACGGAGGGAGAGAAAGAGAGAGAGAGAGAGAGAAGAGAGAGAGAGAGAGAGAGAGAGAGAGAGAGAAGAGAGAGAGAGAGAGAGAGAGAGAGAGAGGAGAGAGAGAGGGAAGGGGGGAGGGAGAGAGAGAGAAGAGGGAGAGAGAGAGAGAGAGAGAAGAGAGAGAGAGAGAGAGAGAGAAGAGAGAGAGAGGAGAGAGACGAGAAGAGAGAGAGAGAGAGAGAAGAGAGAGAGAAAGAGAGAGAAGAGCGAAGAGAGAGAGAGAGAAGAGAGAGAAGAGAGGAGAGAGAGAGAGAGAGAGAGAGAGAAGGAGAGAGAGAGAGAGAGAGAGAGAGAGAGAAGAGAGAGAGAGAGAGAGAGAGAGAGAGAGAAGAGAGAGAGAGAAAGAGAGAGGAGAGAGAGAGAGAAGAGAGAGAGAGAGAGAGAGAGAGAGAGAGAGAGAGAGAGAGAGAGAGAGAGAGAGAGAGAGAAGAGAGGAGAGAGGAGAGAAAGAAGTGCGAGGTTTTATTTAAAGTTTAAATTTTAGATAGTTCGTAGAAATCTTGTTCGATCCTCTTTTTCTTAATTTAGACCATCAGATTTTAAGATTGGCGAGAATGCATAAGGATGCACCAAAACAGACGCTAGACAAGAATCAAGAAAGGAAACACGAGCACTAACCAGAGAGCGAGAGAGAGAGAGAGAGAAGAAGAGAGAGACCTGGCGGGAGAGAGAGATGAGAGAGAATGAAGAGAGAGAGAGACAGAAGTGAGAGAGAGAGGAGAGAGAGAGGAAAATAATAACGACAGTGATGATAGAAAATTGAACGATTAGTAATCTAAGATGATAGTTACTATAATGATTAATTGATCATCAACTGATGATTCCAATGGCATTGAAACAAATCCCTATGATAACATGATAACGATGGTAATAATGTTGCAGATAACAGCAACAACAACAACAACAATAATTAATATAATAATAATAATAATATTAATAATAAAATAATAATAAGAATAATAACAATAGAAATGATAACAATGATAGTGATAATGACATTAATAGTGACAATAAAAATGATAATACTAATGATAATAAAATGATAATAATAACGATAAAGTAAACAATAATAACGATAATGAAAATAACAAATATAATGAAAATAATAGCAATGATAATAGCAATGATGATGATAATAATAATGATGATAATAATAATAATAATAGTAATGACGATGATGAAAATAATGATAATAAAGATTAAGAAATAGTAATGGTAATGATAATATGATGATAATAATAATGATTAATGAATAATAAATGATAATAATAAAAAATAATAATAATAATAGTAATAATAATAATAATGATAATAATAATTATTAATGAAAATATACTACTACTACTACTACTACTAATAATAGTAATAGCTATAATGATGAAAATAATAATGATAATGATGATGATGAGGTTAATAAGAATAACATAATAATAATGATTAATGATTAATAATAATTAATAATTATGATAATAATAATAATAAATAATAATATAATAATAATAATAATAATAATGAATGATAATAATAATAATGATAATAATATATATTTATGGATGATGATGAGATAATATAATAATAATGATAATAATAGATATAATAATATAATAATAATATAATAAATAATAATAATAATGATGAATAATGATAATGAATAATAATAATCATCACCAATTAATCATCATAATATATAATAATAATAATAAATTAATAATAATGATGATGATAATGATAATAATAATGATAATATTAATAACATAATAATAAATAATAATAATAATAATAATAATAATAATAATAATAATAATAATAATAATAATAATAATAATAATAATGATAATAATGATATAATAACAGTAGTAAGTAGTAGTAGTAGTAGTAATGACTATTTGTGATAATGATGATAATAATGACAATGATTTATGTTGTTTATAATAAAAGGATTATGATAATATTAATGCAAACGAGATAGAACGATAATGATACTCCCGTGATCCCGATATATCTCTACTTCTTAGGGACAGGCATGCCAATATGATTAAACAAATTATCATAGATTAGCATTGAATCACACGTTTTAATGAGTCACAGTTTTCTCTCATGAGGTGTAACAGCTGACAATGTATCCAACTGTCTCAAACCTCTGAGCTCCAATTCAAAATATTATTTTTTCTAGATTCTATTGAAATATGTGTTTTGGAGGATTGTGTTTTATGATTTACTTAAGAGCGCTGTTTATAAAGGGAAAAATAATATGGTATGTATGGAAGGTTGTTTTATAAAAAATAAAGAATAATTGTTCTGGAGGTAAGAGGCCAATGCGAAGCCGAATCCAGCATTGCGACAAGGGTTCCGAACACAATGGCTGATAGTGAGACAGACAGCAGTTCTAAAACGGAAGAAAATATGCCTATAAGTGACTACTCGTGTACTCATTATAAAAGAAAATGCAAATTGGTCGTAAGTACAAGCATACATCTACACATATTGAATAGAATTAAGGTCAGGATCTGCTTAAATAAGGAGGAAAAGGCGAGATAAAGTGAGAGTGCGTGGGCAGACGACGACGCTTGGCTTGGCCTTGGGTTCAGCCCCTAAACGTGGAACCTTAAATGACTTCCTGTTTATCGGTGACATGAACGTCTTCGCGTCTATTGGAGGCGTTCTTGAGGCCAGAGACGAACTGGAGGATGGGGGAATGATTATATGACTTTCAATGTGTATTGTTGTGTGTCTTCCCGTAAAGAAGTAGACCCATCTGTTGCCTTTTGTGGGTCCTGTGATGCAACTAGATATTTTGATTATATTTTTATTATTAAAGTATGTGCTGAATGACGAAGAGGGTGATTGGTAGAGGTTTAGGACGCTCCTGTCATGCCTCTCTTAACAGGATATTTTTCTCTAAATTATAGAAGCCATGTTCTGACTCTTATGACATTCCTTGAAAACCATTCCACTTGAAACTTGCTTAGATCTCTGATGGAAAGAAATGCAAGTCCGCTGTGATTAAGGTGCAATGTCCAGTGATCCAGTGGCCTCCCTTTTACATTTCCTCGCAAAGAACAAAATGCATTGAAGCTAGTTAGAGCTTAGAATGCTTCTTTGTTTTAAAGTAAATTATCTGAGTCCATTCATAATGGAGCCACGTGAAGGTAGAGAAAATCAATATTGGTAACTATAAGGAGCATTTAGTGACACGGTTATAGAAAGTAATCAAAGTAAAGAGGTGGCCACAATTGCTAAACATATTCTGTAAATATACGCTTGAGTGGCTAAGTCTATTATCGCCTTGGCCTCAGTGCTGCACTCTCTTGTGAAATAAATAAAACGACCATATAAGTTGTGTCTAGGTAAAGCTTGTTAGTTTTTGAGGATATTTATAGTTGTAGGAGCTAGGGCTATGTCAGTTTTGTGTGAAAGTAATATACAGATTTAAATTAGGTTTGGATAGATCACAGTCAGTATGATTATGAGAAAAAAAAATCCCATTTTAACAGCCACTTTCTTTTGAATATTATGCTGAGCTTATTGTGCGAATATTTGTTTGTTTGCATTTAGATATTTGAAAGCATTTAAGAGTAGACTCCTACATGCCTGGCAGTAACTTTGAAGAAAGACGGTAAAAACATAGTCTAATATTGAACTTCAGGATATTTATGGGTTTGCCAGTAATGCCCATGGTGAGTGAAATTCAATTGTAGAACTTCAGTCCCTGGAACTATAAGATTTAGAGTTTATATATAAACTACATTTCTTTGAATATCTGAATCTTAGAAGTGTGGTAAATGAGACCCATTTTAACTCCATGGATCCTGGTACTTACCTGCCTGCACATGGCCCAAAATCCGTGTTACTTGAGTGGCCACTCTCACGGATGTCTGGCTTGTAGGCTGGGCGCACATGAATACTTTTGTGCGATGTCAGGACTCTTTGGCTTCCTTTTGCACTGTTATTCAATATTTTTCTGGATATCCATTTTTTGAATTTCTACCATTTTCCAATGTCAGTATTTGTCATTTCATAGGCAGTCCCCAGATGGTAATAGACTTTATATCATCTCTCCAAGTAGTTAACTCTGTGCCGTAACCATAACTCAGTAACATTTTGTCATTTAAATTTTCTGTAATATAACCTGCACTGCTGGTCATGGCAGGAAGGAATAGAATATGAGCATGGAAATAGTGTGCTCCCGGTCATGGCTCACAGATTGTAGATTCCACACAAATTTATTGATGGAAATAATGTACGAGCCCTTTTCCCTAGGACTCACTGAGTCTCATCGCCCTCCAAGAACTTTGTGCACTTGTGGCAACTCATGCCCGTCCCCATGGCCTTTAATCGAAATTGTCCTGATGGAAAGTTCCTGTCTCCCTGGCCCTCAGCTAGCTTTCTTCATGACAGTGAGCTTTTGTTACCTGCCTCTCAAGCTAAATTTTTAAATGATGTGATGGTCATATCACCGAGATTGTAGAGGTGAATATGTCAGTGTAGTTAACCCAGTACTGATGGGTAAAAATGTTTGGCAAGTGGACATAATAACGGGATTGTTGGCGCGCATCGGCAGTTTCCCCTGTTTGCGCCTGGCTTGGTTGGTAGTTTGTGAGCAACATTTGGCACCTAAAAGCCTTTTATTTTGCTATAAATTATAAAACTATGATTTGAAGGTTTACCTTCATTATAGGTGCTATTACCTAATATCTTTACCATATAAATGAAGCCTCTACTGTCGGAGAAAAACAAACTCTGTCTGACGAGCCAGTGGCGTGGGAATGGGCATGATACAATGCCATCCATTTTTCGGTCCACAACAGCCATGGCATTTATGTACATGCCACCCGTTGGCTGCGGGTTAAAGTGAGGGGAAATGTGTTTTGCAAATGTTAGCTAAAGAAAAGAAATACTTCATAGTTTTATTTATTTATTTTTTTGGTCTCAACTGAAAAAGAAATCTAACAAATATATATGAATTTGTAGATTCTCATTGCTTCAAAATTACTATAGCAAGCCAGGGGTAAAAGAATGTACTGGATTAAGCCAGGGTTTCCATTAACCATATCTAACTGGAACTAGATTCATCTTATGGTTGATCATCCTTTTGACTTATCCTTGACATGTCATCAGTAAAAATGCTATAAAGCTAGCCTAGATACACCAGATTTGCCTCCCTCCTTTTATTCTAACACTTGTTTCCTTTTCTATCTTCTCCTCCCCCCACTCTTATTCCCCTTCTCTATTCCGTTTCGTTTAGTTTCATTTCGTTTCGACCTGGTTTAAAGTAACTAATGTAATCAGAATGGGAGACTGGGTGGCTGGAGGTAGCTTGGGGACCATGGGCTGTGTCTTAGTGATGGGACACAGGTTTTACAGGTTCTTCTGGATGATACTGCATCCCGCCTCCAAGTGTAAAGATCCCTTTTCGTAGCCTGCAACAGTTGTAGGTGCTTAATGTTTACTCATTGCTATTGAAACTCAAAAATTGATTAGATTGGATAGTGGATAGTAAGTGCCAGCAGACCATGGGAGATAAGAGGTGCATATCTTTGTTATACTATTTTTAGTGTTGGAATTATTTGAGATATTGTAATGATATCCACTTTTAAATTGAGCTTGTTGATATTGCTCTACTTATGCATACTTTTATGTGGGTTATTCAAGTGTTTTTAGATTATTTTCATTTGACCCAATGATTTAATTTTTCTAGTGTTTAAAATATTGTTGCCATAAAAGTCTGATTTTATTTGAAGCATATAGTAATTTAATACAGTCTTGGAAGTTGGCTTTTATTTATTTGTATTATATGTATATAGCTTTTAGCTTTTATTCATATTGTATGGTGGCTTTTTGTTATTATTTAGACTGAATGGGTATTGAAGTCTGCCTATATATGACGTAATTATGTTTCTATAAAAGTCAAAGAAAAAAATTAATTAGAAAATCATTATTGTAACATACTGTACTGCAAACAAATATAAACTCCATCCCTTCCAGTTCCCATTACTCCAGATCTAGATCCTTCAGTTGCGGTACAAGTTCCTAATATGATAGGTTTAAATAGGATCAAGCATGTAGACACAGGTGTCCTTATTCAGTAGATAGGCTAATAGAAATGAACCATTCATATTCGTGAAATGTCTTATGAACATAATGAAATGTATTATTCACAGTTTCATAAACTTATATTCTTATAAGTTTGTGTTTTGGAATAATATTGTGGTAACTGTTAGATCATGGCTACAAAATAAAGGCCTTAGGCTTATTTGAGTGGTGGCCTCAACACAGAGACTTGTGTGTAGTGTCAAGACTCCTTACCTCCCCTTAGCAGTGTTGTGATCTCTTTTTCTTCATATTAATATTTTGCTTTTTGCCATTTTCCAAGGTCTTTACTTGTCTTTTGATATGCTGTATCAGGATGGTAACTGATTGTTTTCCTTGTGCAGATTCCATATCATCTTTCTCTGTTAC